TCCCTAAAACACCATTCCCTCATAGATTCCCCGTTGGTTAAACCCCAGTCACCCCACTCCAGCTCCTTCCCTAGCTTCTCTCCTCATTGGAGAAGTGGGACCCTAACCCCTCCTACCTTCCCTCAGCTATAAACCCCCAGCCCCTCAGTTTCTCCTGGCTCCTTTCGCCTCTGGTGCCCTTCAGCAGTGGTTGTCATCCTGCTCTCCCTGCTCCTGTGTCTACCCTGCCTACCTTCCACCTTCCTACCCTACCTGGACCCTCCAGCTGTTCCTGAATAAACTCTACTGGACTTTACTGAGCGGAGGACCCCCTTGTTATAAATGAAAATTTGTCCAGCCAAATAAAAAAAAAAAAAAAAAAATTATTTCTCAATCAAATTCTATCTAGCCAGCCACAAGGAAAGAACAGAGCCGAGCCCGGGGTCAGCCCTGGGTGTGCAACAAGGAGTCAGCCTCAGCAGAGGTTTTCCTCTATGCCCACCCCTCCATCCTGGCACAAGCGGTTTTTATAGGGAAAATTCCACCTGAGGCCAAGATTTCAGCAGTCAGTCTTTTCTTCCATTCAGAGTCCATAGGTTAATAAGATTTTCTTTTTTTTTTTTTTTTGGTGATGAGGAAGAACAATTCAGTGTCAGGAGTTGTTGAATCCCTTGATGAAATTTACAGGAACCTGCATTCACGTGTATCTGCCCGAGGATTTCTATAATATCTATCTCAGGTCGTTCACGAGATGATCAGCGCCTGGACGTCCAGTGTTGCTTCAGATACGCCCATCTCCTGGCCCAGCCACATCCTTTTACTTCTAAATTGGGTTTCAACATACACCAGGTTTCACCTACAAGGGTGGGGGGACTCCTAATACAAACGTGTATGCTCCAACAAATATGCAATATCACATATATCATACTAAACCGGCGTGTATTATATCTACTACACATAACATGAAGATTCCAAAAGAGGCTCCAACCCCCGATGTGGTCCAAGATGTTTGTTCCATGGGAGGAAGAGGGAAAGAGAGCAAAGAAGGAAGGGACAGAGCCTTATCCAGGCTCAGTACAGGAGGGGCTACTTGGCTCCCAGCCACTTGTGTCAAGAAAGGAAGGAAGGGTCAAACGAACATGGTCACAGCTAAAGGGGTCTCTGGGGAGGGAAAAACCATTCCCCAGAGCAACATAACAATTGACTGTGCCCTCTGGGTGACCTTGAGGCTGAGGAAGGTGAGCGCTCCTGGCAGATGGGCTCCTCTCTGCAAATCGTGCTTTGCTGTCTTGTGTCCCAATTCCCAGCCCGAGCTGGTGATGGCAAGGAACAACTTATTAAGGAATTGCTTCTTTCCTCCCCTGTTCAGCTGCTCTCAGGCAGGTCCTATCGATCCACTGCACCTACTCAAGATGTTTTGCAAAAGGCACTTAGTGAAATTCATTCCAGGGGTTTGTCACTGGTTGTTGCTGCCTGAACTGCACGTGGGGCACGGGCAGGTGAAGGTTTGACTCCGAGAGGGTCACAGTAAGAGCTGTCATAGAAGAGGAATTTTCATTTTGCCAAACATAATTTTCAGCATGTTACAAAAAAAAAAAAAAAGAAAAAAAAAATTCCCACAAAACAAAATCCAAGGTTTTTATTTTGGTTGTGTGGGAAATATTTTTATGTTTTGGTGTTGTTTTGGGAGGCTACTCAGATTGTGTAAATAGAAACAAATTTTTAAATGAGAAGGTACTCTGAAAAACAACAGCATTAGCCTAAGCAGACATTTTTTTAAAAAATTACTTTGTGGAGCAATTTAACTTTGATTAGAAATCCCTTTTTAAGCCCCTCCAAACTATTTTTTAAAATCACTGTTTCCATAAAAAATATCTGTTCCAAAATTGCATGCAATGGTAAACCAGAAACTCTGCTGTGCCAATTCCCATTCCATAGATTCACCATGCTACCTCATTAAATTGCAAAAACCACATACAAAATAGGATTTCCCAAAGGACAAACGCTCTCCCTGAGAAGTTTCAACCTGTTCCTGTCAAACACCAGTCGGTGCAGGGAAAGCAGCTGCTTTTCCTCATTCTGCTGGGTTTTTAGGTGACACTGGAAATCTGTGCTCCTGCTCAGGGGGGCCAGGGGAGCATTCCTGCAGTGCTGCTCCTGCAGCCAGCCAGATCCCGGCGGGAAGGGCTGCACATGGCTCTGGTTTCCAGCTTTTCCAGCTGCTGCAGTGTGGGGAGCACTGTGGGGATTTTTGAAGGAGTTTTGAATGAGTTAGGGACAGGGCCTCTGAATTGTTTTTGATGATGTGGTTTATTTTTTCTTATCTTCTGCAAAGTCAGGAAGGGTGAGTTTGGCTCCCATCTTTACCCCATGGTTCAGAAAAACACAAGACCCTCAGTTACAAGACCTTTTAATGATTTACTGACTAATAAATCACTACCAACAAGGATATTTCTGGTTTTGACCCAATCCTTAAATATTTTATCTTATGGACTCATGCTACAGTGTGAGCTTTCTTAGCCAATTATGTAAAGACACACAAACCTACAGTGCTGCATTCTAAACTCCTTGAACTCCTTTCTAATTACTTTTATTTTTATATCTTAAACTCTAAAACTCTAAACTTTCCTTAGCTTAACATGTCTCTGCTTTAAACTACAAATCCACATTCTCGCTTCTGTCACCTAAATTTGGAAGCCTTTTCCAAGGTCTCAGATCAAATCCTGTGTTTAATTCTAAGCTTTGGCTTCCAGGCCCAAAGTTGTGAGAACTCCCTGCATTTTGGATTCCAACAGAGCACCAAAGCAACCACACTAATGAGGGCACTCACTGCTCAGAGCCCTCGCTGCACAGCTCAACTTGGTGACAGTGCCAGCACACCAGGATGTCCTGCCCCAGGGACAGCAGCCTCCACAGGGCAAGGACGTCCAGAGCTGCAGCTGTCCTGGCGTTTTGCATGGGTTAAATGAAGCTCAGAGTGAAATCAGGGCATGTCCCCATTGCACATGGAATAGCTTTGATGCAACAGCCCTTTGGAGCTTTGTCTCCATATGCTTTTATGACCTGGGCAAAAGAGGTGCTTTAATAACTGGAATATTTTCAGTATGAGTGTTTGCTTGGCTGCTCATTTTTTCACCCAGTGAGTAAATCCTATCAGAGCCACTTGCAGCAGAGTGGGCAGTTTCAAACAGTGCATGCCAGCAGCTTTGGAAACATGAGAATGTTGAGTTTTCCTTTGGATATTGGCTTCCTACAATAAGGCAAATGAGTACGTGCATTTCTGTAGGAACCACAATATTCCCCCATTTATAGTATTGGGGAAAGCTGTTTTGAATATTCAAAAAAAAAAAAAAAGAAATCTACTGTTTCTCTGCTGGGTAAATGGTGAAAATACAATCCTTCACACAGCCTTGTCCATCCTGGACTCATAAACCTCAGCACTGCCTGGGCTGGTCCCAGAATCACAGAGTGGGTCAGGCTGGAAGGGACCACAGAGAAGTTGTGGTGGGTTTTGTGGCTTTTTCTTGGACAATAAGGAAGCCAGGGGCAACTCACGTACTCATGTCTGCTGTGAAGACTGAATAGGAAGAGAAAAACAAGTGAAAAAAACTTTAAATTTCTTTTAAAGTTGTGCCGGTGGGAGCCTCGTCTCAGCATCACTCCAGCTCTCCTAAAATTGCTTTGATATTCAAAAAAACACTGACTTTTTAAACAATACTGTCCTAAATCCCTTTTATAAATGCCCAGAACCACTCGCAGGCTTTCTGAAACTCATTGTTATAATTACAATCAAGGATCATAGGACTCTGTGCTTTGTGCCAGAAATACACATCCACTGAATTGTTTGCAGAGGAGCCACAGAGAGAAAGAGTGAAGGAGAAATGCAGCTTCAGTGCTGCTCAATTCAGGAGCAGGAACTCCCACTCTATTTAATTTTTCCTCTTTTGTTTCCCAATTTAACTTGGAGCTACTGAAATTCAAGCTAATCTTTGGTTTGTCCTCTGTGCTCTCCTTTGGCTTCAATCCAGGGAATCTCGAGGTTCACTTTCCCCCACCATCTCCTCCTGGAGGAAGAAGAGGAAGGTGGGGCTGGAAGGGTGAGGAGGAAGGTCTGCAGGACCCATCAATGCCAGCAGAGGTGAGGAGAATTTCATTTTGGGCATTGCTGGGATAGCATTTAGCAGATCCAGAACAAACTCTCTGAGCAAAGGAATGCAGCATCAAGCGTAGTTTTGTTAAATCTTCATCTCCTGGGTCACTAAAAAAGCTTAGGCAGGGCTGTGGGGGGTTTTGGTAGTGTTGTCTGACACAGCACATAGGGAGGGAGCTGGGATTCAACTTTTGCCAGCACAAGGCCTGTTCCTGGTTCTCCCTTTCTGATGTTGATCCCTGATCCGGCTTCCATGGAAATGTCCCTGTCTGGTGCTTAGGAAAGCAAGTGGATAAATATCAGATCTGATCCACCACTCAGTGGCTTCTGTTTTACCCCTGCAGAACATCACTGATCATAGAAGGATTTGCAAGATTAACACCAGAGTCACTCAGTGATGAATCCCAGGCAAAGCCTTTGGTAAAAAGAGAACAACACTCCTTCCCCGTGCAATATCCCACATATCAATGGTGTGCTCTGAGACAGGATTCGATGGCATTCAGACTTTCCCTCCCTTGATTCAGGACAGTGCTGGGGTACACTTAGTTCAGCTAACCCAGATTTCTCCCCTCTGTCTCTTTTCCCTGCAAAATGCCAGACATGTTCTCAGTGAAACAAAAGCAAAACTTCCCCCCCCAGTGCTGATCCAGGTGGCAGCTGACCCCTGGGAAAGGCTGAGCAGACAGGCAGGTCTGAACCCCATTTCAAACCCTGGAGGCTCTTGCAGCGCCTTCCAACAGCGAATTAAGGCTGGTCCAGAGAGTGAAAAACCTTAATCTAGAACTTTGAAACATTTCGTTCAGGCTCAATTTTGCTTGCTTAGGGCAGTCCCAAAGCATATCCACAAACACTGGATGAGGAGAAGCAGTGTCAGCAAAGAAATATTTTCATTTAGAGGTGTTACACATTTCTTGTGCCTGCAAGAAAACTCAAAAATTCCCTCTCAAATGCTATATAATCTAGATAGAAGTAAGATTTTCAAGTGATGCTTTCAATATTTAGCCTTGGTCTAAAGAAAACTGAAAGAAACACATTGGGCAAATTTCCCAACCACAGAAACCTCCCTCCCTGATGATAGCACTACTCAGGTTCCCTGAGCAGCTGCCAGCTGGGCTGTAGGATGCCCCATTGCTCCCTGGAAGACTTGTCCCAAGTCATGGTACCTGCAGAGGCAGGCACAAGACTTTCAGAATCCAAACCTCATTTCTGTTTCACAAAGTTTTTAGAGCAGAAAATCCTGTGTCTTTATTCTGCCTTTGAGATTCTGGGGTCCACTCAAAGGAACAGACTGCGAAGTTCCTCTGGGTAAATGGTCTCAGGACCCAAATCCAGTTTCAGAAGAAGCCAGATGACTGTAAGAACACTGATCTGTTCCTATACCCACCACACCTGAGGTATTGCTGGGGCACCTGTGGGTGACAGCCATGGCCAAACACGGAGCTCAGGCAGCTCTTCTGACCCTTGTCACTCCTGAACTTGCAAATTTCCTTGAGAGAAGGTGACCAGCAAGGCAGGAATTTCTGTAGTGATGTGGCAGTGCCTCCAACCACTCCCTCTGACTCTTGAGCAGCAACAGAAGAACCAGTTTCTCAGCACCATCCATCAGGCCAGGATGGCAGACAGGGCAGGAAGAACCCTTCTTTTCTCTTCACATGAGTTTTTCCTCCTCGTGATTCCAATTTTTGCCTTCCAGCAGCACTCCTATCAGCTGCCTCCAGAAGATGTGCTTGCTTATTTCCTTATTTTTCCACTCCAGGTAGGTGTTCCTCCTCAGGTACCGAGACAGCCCCAGCCTCTGCCTCAGCAGGGCTTTATTCACATCCTCCAGCACAATCATGATTAGCCCAGCCTTTCCCTCCACCAGCTGCCAGGACTGGGCAATGTCGAACTCAAAGCTGCACCACTTGCTCTGCAGGAAGTCAGCGGAGATAACTGCAATAACATTCCTGCTGCTGAGGAAACCCTCCTCGATGATGTTGGTGACAATGGGCACCCCTGGCAGGAAGTCCCTGTAGTACAGGCACAGGCGGAAGCGAGGTGTCCCTCCTTCCAAAGGTTCCACCAGCTCCTTCATCACCCACTCCTGGTCTTTGCTGGAGTGGATGACAAAGGCGTCGTAGGTGTCACCTCTTTCTGCGTAGTGTTTGCACCCGCTGAGCAGCACCATGGAGTAGTAGAGCTGGAAGTAGTACCTGTAAACCAGGAAGAGGAACACCACTACACAGAACAACACAACCACTGGGGAGGCAACCTGGCCTGCGCTGATGTGGCAGGAGGACAGATCAAAGCTTGGCAGGCTCACGTTGGCCACGTAGGAGGGAGTGTGGCACAGCATCAGCTCTTCGTTCTGCAGCAGCTCCTGCTTCTCCTTGACCCACTTCAGAAAGTCCAGGTACACACAGGAGCAATCAAAGAGGTTTTGAGAGATATCCAGCAGGACCAGGCTGTCAGGCAGGATTTCCCTGGCTGGGTCCAACAGAACAGCCAGCTGGTTTCTGCTGAAATCCAGGACTCTGAGGGCTTGCAGTGGCTGGTAGACTACAGGATCAAAAGTCATGAGCTTATTGTTGCTGATGTTTAGCTCTTTTAGCTCAGACAGGGCATCAAAAGTACTTTGATCCACATGTTCTAATTTGCAGCTTGAAATATCCAAGGTGTGGAGGTGACTTAGGTTTTTGAAGTTGTTTGCCAGCTTATTGTCTGCAAAGGAGTTTCCTGCCATCTTAAGCACTTGCAAAGAGTTCAAGCCACAAAATGTACACTGGGATTTAACTTCGGTTTTGGTGTGGGAAATATCCAGGTAAATCAGTCTCTGAAGGGACAGAAAGACAGGGTAGGAGCCAGGACCAAATAAAGTTGTGTGCTGAAGGTCCAAATATAACAAATTCTTCACATTAGTGAAATCTCCAGTCAATCTGATATTAGAATTGAAGCTTAAGTTCAAGTGTTTCAAATTTGGACAATTTTGAAACTGAGGGGAGCAGCAGCTGCTGAAGGTGAGTCTGTTCTCACTCAAATCAATGACCTCCAGGTTACTGAGACCCTTAAATTTATGCTCGAAGGTTTTGAGATTTCTGTTATCGTTAATACGAAGCATTCTCAGCTCCTTGAAAAGTGACAGCTTCTGGGCAGGCACATCCTCAAAATGGCATTTCTTGCATTCCAGCTGTCTCACTTTAGACCACACAGGAACCTGTGATATCTCCTTCAGTCCGAGGTCCACCAGGCGAATGGTGGAGACGTTGCCTATGCAGTTGAAGAGAGTGTCTGTGTCATCCTTAAACCCCCGGAGGCAGATTAAGACAAACTCTTCCATCTGTACCTGGCACAGTCCATCCAAGAGCCTCCCCTCAAAGTCCTGCAGTCTCTCAATATTCCTGAACTCCCCCACTATGAGTCTGCTGACCTGCAAACCAGCCAGGCCTTGCAGAGCAGTTTGCATGGTGGGTTTCTCAAAAGCAGACCTGAGAGCCAGCTCAGCGAGGTGAATCCCTGCAAAGGCCCCCGGCTCTATGGATTTGATATTGTTCAAGGAAAGCACCAGCGTGAGGTTGAGCCTGTTCCCTTCCCTCAGGGCATCAAGGTCTCCTCTGGAGATAGACGTGATCTTGTTAGAGGAGAAGCTCAGGAGCCTGAGGGAGGTCATGTTGGTGAAATACTTGGGAAGCTTCAATGAAGTGATGCTGTTGTGGCCTAAATTCAGTTCCTGCAGGGTATGCAAGTGGCCAATAGGCAGCTCAGACAGAGAGGTCCTGTTGGTTTCCACCAGAACCAATTTTTTCAGAGATGTTAAGCCATAGAAAGCTGCTTTTCCCAGGTGCTGTAAGGAATTGGCAGTTAAAACCAAGGTGGAAAGTCTAGGGAGATCCATAAAGGAGTTATCTTCTATTGTATGGAGGTGGCACCTGATGGGAATGAAAAGAAGATATAAATGCATGAAACACTGTCCCTTCCTTGTTCACTGAGTGCTGCTGTGACGCCCTCAGGCTCAGCCTCACACTGGGGCTGGTTTGGCTTTGCTGTGCTGGGCAGAGCCAGCATCCCTGGACGTGCAAAGGGAGCGCTCCTCCAGCAGGAGACCTTCTCTCACCTCCTCCTCTCCAATCTTAAATTCAAAGCAAGAGATCTGGAGACCTGGTGAAGATCAAAAATTCGTGCAGGCAGCGGGAAAGAAGAATCCTGGCCATCAGTTTAGGCCAAAGTGACATTGTGATGACAATGATGTGACTGTGTGCTCACTTGGAGCTCACATACCTCCAAACAGGGATGGAGGAGGCAGCCTGACAGCGGGGACAGGACAAATCACTGATGGAAGAACCAAGCAGGGCCAGCATTCCCTCACCCCTCGCATCCCCCAGCTGATCTCTGCTGATGGCTCAGAGGCAGCAGAGCCGGGCTGTGCTGCCTCTGAAAGAGAAAAGGAAGAGAGGGAAATGAGCATGGCCCCCTAAGGTTTGTTTGATGTGGGAAGATCCAGAATTTGAGACCCAAATCCATTCTGCAGTGAATCCCAGCAGAATTAGTTTAATAATCCAGGCAGTGCCTCACAGCAAACGTGCTCTGCCACTCAGCCACTTCGGAGCTAGAGCTGTGACGGGGCTGAGTGACATTTCTCAGTGAAACAATTTACCTGGAGAAACTGTTGTCTGAAGTCAATGGAAATTATACATCAATTCAAATTTGCTAATAGGCCTCCCCCATCTCCTCCCCCAGATATGTGAGGAGAAGGCAAAAGAGAATATGTTGATATTTTAAAACAGCCTTTAGAAAATGAATGTACCTTCGTGTTATTTTTTTTAAACTGTGATTAGAAAAACAGCTCACCCAAGATGTTCCACTTCAGAGTTTTTGTAACAGTGAAAAGTCTGACATTTTTCTTGTTCACAGACAAGTGAAACATCTTCCTCCTCCTTCTCACATTGCAACCTACAAGATCAGACTGACAGACCCAGCTCTGAGAGGAGGGTGTGCACTCAGTGACTGGACTAAAAGCTGCACATCACTTCACCACGGGGATGTGCCAAATGACAGACATGGGGACAAAGTCACAAGAAAAAAAACATAAACAGCCAAGACCAATAGACCCCAAAATAAGCCCCCATTGTAACCCAGCTGGTGAAGAAAAATTTACCAGTATCCACGTAATAGATCCCATTACCTTGAAAGATCCAGAATCTGCAGCTCAGGGACTGATGCAAAATAATTTGACCCCAGTGATTTCAGATTGCTGAAACTGAGGTCCAGGTTCTGGGTGGTGTTTGGGACTCCATCAGGAACTCCAGAGATGTTCAGTCCAGTGCATCTGAAAGTTGTGTTAGGGGTGACCTGTAACAGAGGCAGATCCCATCATGGTCAACACCTGCTCTTCATGGAATGCCAGAAAATGTCACTGTCAGGAGAGCAGGAGCAGAGTGACCCCCCTTGCAGTGCATTTCTAAAGGAGCTGCCCTGACTTTTAGGAAATAATCTTACACACCCTAAACATTTTTCTCATTTCTAATAGAAGCAGTCCTATTCCCCAAGCAGAGCTGCATTTCTTGCTGACTGAAGCTGGGACAAAACTACAGAACAGCATTCCTTGAGGTTACAGATGAACCTTTGAGAGAGCCAGCAGGACAAACACTCATGGATGCACTGCATGTCCAGGAACAGCTCTCAGCCCTCTTCCCCTGCACATAACCAGGCAGCTTGAACCAAAGTTATTCTGCAAGAAAATAATTGTCAGCAAAACTTTGCAAAAGGCAGTTGGTCCTTGTCAGGTACTTGGTGAAATCACTCTACTGCACAAACCAGGCAAAAATCTGTGTTTTGTAGAAATTAGACAAGTTTGGATCCCTTCCAAGGGAAATATAATCTATTACAATAACTGCACTGCAGCACCCTCAGAGGCTCAGGAAGCCAACGAGAAGAAAAAATTCTTGCTGCTGGTTCTGGTTCTCGGATGTTTTCGAGACTAGGATTTATTTAAATACTTCAATCACCTTGATAACAACCTTGGGGGGAAGAAAAAATCTGGGCTTTCCTAAGAGGCTTGAGGCACAAATCTCCCAAGCAAAGAGAAAAGTTGCAGCAGAGAAACAGAAGGATTTTGTGCTCACTCAGAGCTCACGTACCTCCAAACAGGGATCCAGGAGGCAGCCTGCCAGTGGGGATGGGACAAATGCCAGCTGCAGCAGCACCAGGAGTGTCCCCACAGGAGGGGCTCCTCTCCTGGGCATCTTCAGGAGGCCAGGAGGGCAGGAGAAAGGAGCATGGAGAGAGAAACCTGGAGACAGAAAGCTCCTGCAGTGCCAGGAGTTGTGTTTCATCACTCCTGCTTCTCACTGCACGTCTCTGAGAGCTGCAGAGAACGAGGAAGGAAGTGAAACTTGGCCACTGCCTTGTTTCTACACACACTCGGGGTGAATTGCTCTTCTTGCAATTGTTAAAAAAAAAAATAGCCAACAAGAAAAAAAAGAATGACAGATATAGTTTGGGCTAGAAATTGAAGAGGAATATGAGTTTCATCAGTGCCACTTGACTTGATTGCCTCTGATTAGCTCAGGTCAAATTGGCAAAAAAAAAAAAAACAAAAAACCAAACCAAACCAACAGAATATTTTGTGCAATTCCAAGCTCAGTTCCATGCTCCATATCCCATAATTCAAATGCACTGGTTAGAGAGGGTGACTCTCTGCCTTTGCACTCCTGCCATGCTCCCAGCCTCAGCCTTGCAAGCCCTGGAGAAGAGCTCAGCTGTGCCAGAGGTTTTCTCAAGCCAGGTAAACACAGGTTCATCTCTGGCCAAGCTCTTGTGAGCAAACATCCAGGTTTTATCCACCTGCTTGGACCTTTATTGCAATTATTGCAGGAATGTGGCCAGGCACAAGGAGATTGACAGAGGGATCAGAGATGTGGTCACAGAAATTCTACCCCACCCTTGCCAAGTTGCTGGGGCAGCAAAAAGGAGAGGCACAAACACCCTGAGCTGGGCTTAGAGCTGCTCCCTGCCCTGCTCATGCCTGAATCTCTGTTTGATGCCTGCCTACAGAACATCTCAATGCTGAATTCCCAATGCAGACCATTGTTTCAGGGAAAAAAAAGCTTTGTAAAACCTCACTGTGGGCAATATTAATTTAAGTCAGCTGTGAGCCTTCTAATAAAGCTCCCTGCCTTCATTTAGTCTGATAAATGGTCGTGCATTCATGTATCTCCTCCTGTCTTCGTGGAGATAACTAAGAAATGTTACAGGGGATCCAGCTATAGGGTTGCTGGGTATTATCAACACCACATAGACAGAGAAGAGGCAAAAATATGAGACAAGGGTGGAATATTGGTCTAGAGGAAGATGGAATAAAGTGTGGCGACTCATGAACGTCTGTGAAAATTGATATTAAATATAAGATGCGATATCAGCCCAGTGAGCGATCCACTTATAAAGAAAAGTTTAAAATATTTCAGAAGTGGGGGTTAGACTTTTTTGACAGGTTAGTAGAGAGCCTAGGAGAGATGGGAAAATCCTAAAATAACTGATGATCTCTGCAATAAAAAACACATGGCAGCACAATGGGAGCTAAAACCGACACCCTGATGTGCAGACAGATAGTGCCCATTAAGCCAGCAGACAAAAAGTTTGTTGAAATTTGGCAAGTTCTACAAAATCCCTGCTCTGAAAAGCCTCTGGTGATTGCAGGTATTTCCTTTTATAGATGGAATCAAAAGTGAATGGAAACAATTGCTGACTGCTTCTGTGCCTGGATTAAGGAAATTGGCAGAGCATCGTGTGTCTGCAGAGAGAACAAATGAGTGCATCCCTTAGTATTCAATATGTGGAATGAGGCAATCCACATTTAATTTTTATCTAAAGCTGAGATGAGCCTGAAGTATGCTCCAGAAATTACCATTTCAATGGAGACTTACAGAAGATGCTGAAGAGTTTGGGAGCATCACAAAATCCCTCCCACAGCCACGCTCACAGGTCAAGTGGGAAGTGCAGCTTGAAGGGCATTCAGAGGAGGCACTGCTGCTGTCACAAGGGACAGTTTCACAGCACACATCGTAATTTGTTCAAGGACAAGTCCTACAGACACTTCAAGGTGTGGGAGTCCAGGGCTTCCCTCTGGCTGCCCTGGCAGGTCTGGGACCCTGGCAGGGGTCAGGAACCCCCTGGACAGAGACCCCAGAGACACTGTCTGTGATCTCTGTCCATGGAAAAGAGTTTTCAATCTTACAGGATGAATTACCAGCTCTGAGTGTTTGATATCAGTAATAATTAAGTGTGGCACAGGTGCAAAAGTAAAATTTTAGGATTCTAGATTAGGGGTTCAAAGGGGACAAGATGGAGGAAATTGGGTGTGCCTTGTCCTTTTTCTCCTTCTTCATGCCCTCCATGTTTCACTGTGGTGTTGGCATTTTTCTGTTGGTTCAGGCTGGGGACACACTGTCCAACGTAGGTGACAGATATTGGCACGTTATTGTAAATCCAGCACAGGTAGTTTGTGGTATTTAATGTTTGTACCATCCCACTGAGGGCAGAGCCCCACACGCTGCCCTGCAGGACAGAGCTGCGGCAGGGCAGCAGAACATGTTAGAGATAAACAGAATAAACAACCTTGGAACCAGCACAGACCAATTATGGCTTCTGCTTTGGCAATGGGGCAGAAAGACAGAGACTTTCTACAATCTTGGAATCATCAATACCTCAGATTCCGACAGCAAGGGATGGGGCACTAGCAGAAAACATGCAAGTTAGCAGACCAAACCCAGCCACCACTTTAGAAAGTCAGTGCTGGTTAAGTTGATGTTGCTCAGCTGGCACACAGCAGTGTGGATAAAGCCATAATGGCTATGTGATTCTTCACAAACACTAAAAGAATGATTTGGAATTCCTTAAAGTGACATGAGTAACATCTAAATACAAACATGATTCACTACTCTGGCAATTTACTGGGATTATTAAAGAGCTCTCAGCGAGGAGGTGTTGCAGAGAATCTGTGTTTCCAAAAACACGTGCCTGAGTCATCTCTGTGCTCCTGAACATTATTATAATATAAATAACACAATGCAGACAGTGCATATGCAGCCTCTGTGATCTCAAGCAAGGTATTACAGAGCATAAGACAGCCACACTGTAGCTGGACTGACAAAACATCTTATACTTACTTATTTTGAAAGAAAATTATTTGTGAACTCCAGCCAAAAAACAAAGTTAGCCAAACTCTTGGACAAGACAAGTGGTGAGAGCCATAAAACCAGGATTGTCTGTCCCTAGGGTGATTTCAAGGTCACAGTTAACCCAGTACCACGTGCAGATGAGCAGCTCTTACCCTGGAGAGAGGCTCTGTTTGCTTCAGGAGTCATCTCAAGCACTTCCCCAAGTCTGTCTGCAAACAGAGGCTGAGGAACATGACAGAAACTATTTCAAGGTTAAACAAAACCAGGTCTTATTTTACGTGAAAAAACCATCTCTAACAATTGTTTGGTTATGAGCTGTGGATCAGAGGGGAGAGATTGATGGATGAAAGAGGGGGGAGCATTCCTGAGGTGCTGGCACCTTCACAGCACAGGACTTGTGGAGCCTGGGGAGCACCACGAGAGGCTCCAAAAGTCCTTGAGCAGCTCAGGATGCACCAGGTGAGCCAGCATTGCTGTCAGGGGGGCTGGCCACATGTCCCTTCCTAAGTTCCTAACAGCCTGGCAGTCCCCTGCGGTGAATGAGGCTGAAATCAGCCACTCTGCAGGAAGGATCCAGGCTCAGGGGCTGCAGGCAGCTACCAAGCCTTTGATTTCACCTGACAGTCCTTATCCCAGCAAGTCAGTCACCTGTCCAGGTCTGAAGGGTTGTCAGAGTGTACAGGAAGAGTGACAGGAAACGTGGCACAAATTTTACAGCAAGTTGAATTTTCCCAGCCATTCTGCTGGGAAAAACAATTTATATAAATTACAATGAAAAATGGCAGAGTTAAAGGAATAATAGGGATTTATTAAACTGCCTTCATAGGATATACCTTGGGCAGTGTAAGAGCCTGGCTGTGGCTCTGTCCAAGATGGACACAAGATTGCAAACCAGTCATGAGTTGTCGCACTTTTATACATTTCGGTCCATTTCTATATTGGGGTTCATTGTCCAATTCCAGCTCCAGGTTATGCTGTCCCATCCTCACAGTCTGACCTCCTCGATTCCCTGTTGTGGTACTCCTTGAGCCTAAAGCTGCAGTGGTGTCCTTGGTGACCAGGCTGGAAAAGGATTCTTCTGTCTGACTGGACTGTGAGGAGAACTTGCTAACACTTTATATGAAGCTCTGAGTCACACACTAGTACAGAATCTAAAAAATATGAAAGTTGAAACTTGAAGCATCAAAGTGGGTCTAATAATGGAATCACAGACTGGTTTGGATTGGATGGAGCCTTCAAGTTCATCTCATTCCAAGCTCCAAGCTCCATCCAACCTGGCCTTGGCCACTTCCAGGGATGGGAAAACCACAACTCACACTTGATGGGAGATCAGCCTGGAAGAGCTCCTGCCTCTGCTTCTGGATCTCCCAGCTTTGAAAAAGAGAGCAACACTCAGGCTGAGAAAATGCACATTCATTTTGGGGTGTCAGACCCAAAGAAGACCCAGCATCACTTCTCTCTCTGTCTGATTGACTCCAGCTGCAGTTCCAGAGCCAGGAGATCGGTAATGCGGGTTCCTTGTGGTGCCTCTGAGTGTCCAGGAAGGGCATGGAGGTGGCATCACAGTTTCTTCATGGTGGCACCTAGCAGAGTTCAGCATGGCTGAGGTGCTCCCCATTACACAGAAGGACTGAGACTGGTGTGCACAGGGGCAGAAAAACAACCCAAAAGCCAGAGTCCAAGTTGGTTTGATGAAAATCAGCCAAGCCTGCACTGGAGTAGGCAATGTGTGCCATCAGGTGGGCTATTCCCAAAGCCAAGATCATATGAAGACCCCAGAACTATTCCAAAGCTGTTAGGGAAGAACTGTGTCAAGTAACCAGGGACAAATACACTGCTAGAAGAAGTGATTAATCAGTGTCAAGATAGTCACTACCTGTGGCAGCTACTCCATATGGATTATGTCAGGTCATTAGGAGCCCTACATTTCACTGTTTAATCTAAATGGCTGGAAGAATTTCACACAGATGGTGGAGCCTGGCCTGCCAAGCATTCATGGGCAGGCAGTGAACGACAGTGGAGCTCGCTGGACCCCTGGAGAGAGGCAGGCTGGCACCAAACAGCCCAGCAGCACCTTGTCCTCCTGCCTGGGATGAACCACGGTCACCCCTGGGCTGGCCAGAGCCAGGGATTCACTGGCACCATGGAGGTGAGGGTAGCCACA